TCCTAATAGTATCAAGTAGTACCTGCTCTTTTTACATTCCGTGGTTATGGAATGATTTTTCCAGAGGATTTTGTTGCTGAAATTCATAAAAAGCATGTTTGATGTGACGTTTTTAGCATAAAATGTGTTTCATAAGTACAAGAAGTAATTAAAAAGACAACAAAGGCTCTGACAATGGAAGATGGGAGACAGGCACACAGGTTTTTCTCCTTCATAGGAAAACAATAACATAGACCATTCTTCTTAAGGAAAGAGTGTAAAACTATCTGCAAAGGGATGTGAATGCTTTTAGCAAATAATCTGAAACTAGACAACCAGAAGTGTGGATTTTAACGGAACTGTAAGAGAGCATCGTACACACGACACACTTCCAGAGAACTAAATATTACAAGTAAAAGCAATAACATAGCGTGGTGGTGAGGAGCAGTGCTGGCTGGAGTCAGGCTGCCTGGTTTGAATTCCGTTTTTATCCTGTATGAGCTGAAAGGCTTGCACAAATTTCTATTTTTTTTTTTGTCTTAGTCTCATCTGTAAAATAGAAATAAAACAGTACTTACCTCAATGGCTTATTTTGAGGAACAAGTGAGCAAACATTTTAAACTGCCAGGTGAGTTTAAAATGTTAAGTATGAATATTAATTGCTATCATTATTGTGATTAGGCACATTTAGCCTTAAGAACAAATACCAGGTACTTTCGTGTTTCTTTCCATCAATAGTTCTGCATGTGAAAGAAACCACAAACTGTTTTTTAGTGGGTCTATTCAACCAATCAGTAAATCAGCCATACATATCATTCACTCAACTCTCAAATAGCATGTGAATTTTCAAATGTGTTGAAATCATTTTTAACTTAAGAAAAATCCTCAAATTATGAAGTCAATCAATGACAAAATATAATTTACTGTTCAGTAGATTTAAAAGCATTCTCAGTTTTTATTTTCTTTAACATCTTTACTTACATACTAAAAGAAAAACAAGAGAAATTTGCCTTATAAATTCTTAACCCAATCCTCACTTAAGAATATATTACTCCAGAAAAAATGACTCCTTTTAAAAAGTTATGATACAGGCTATTTAAATAAAAGAGAGCACCATATATTCAATATATGTTCCTCCTTCTGTCTATTTTGTCTCTAACTGGAGTAACAGTTCCTTGGCTTCAAGGGTACACCTGTATATCTCTGTTTTATCTATATCTATATAATAATACCACTACAAAGACATTCAATAAATATTTGTTGGGCATATAACTAATTGAGAGATTTGCCTAAATAGCATTGTAGTCTGTGGACTTTGGTCAAAGAGAAAAGCAAAGTAGCTATTGTCTTGTAAAGATTATGGGTAAATATGGAGCCCAGAATTTTTCTTGGAAACGTGTGCTTTATTTGTATTTTATGATACATTATTTAATGTAAACATATATTTTAAAAATTATCATGAAAGACATAAATCCTTCATTCAAATTGAACTTGTTCAAAAGGCCCCATGTGGTTAACATCTAACTAAAGTTAGAGTACAATCAATTATTTTCCAAAGTTAGCATCTAATAGAACAAAATTATGTTCCAGGTCTCATATTTTGAATATTAAACTTAATCTCATCTTGGACACTTTCCTTATTTTTCAATGCCTTCATTGTCAAAAAGCGATCCACTATCACTCTACCTCAGAGATTCTTGCTAAGGATTAGCTAATGAAAAATGTTAAGCTAAAAAAGCTAATTCACCAAAGTAGGAATGCTCTGTTGTCAGTTTGAAAAGCAGTGATTTCAGAATAAATAAGTGCCAGTTGCAGTCCCAAAGTACCCCAATTTGAGGGGGAGAAAACAAAAGATGGAAGAAGAATTGTGAGATTTCATAAATTCTTGCCTGCGGTTGGACGCTGGCTCTTTAGTGCAGGTCCAGGACTTGATCTAGCTGCAGTCTGTAGGATTGATATCAGTTTAGAGCCTGTATGTGAATGTTGCCAGTCCAGGATTTCCTCACTTCTCCTAAGAGGACCCACTTTTAATGTAAAAAGATTATTTTTGCAATATTTCCCTGCTTAATAGTGGTTAAATGTTTGTCATGTATCAATTAAAAACATAGGCCACCATGCCACCTTGAATTTAGTATCAATTTAGAATGAATATTTAATAACACAATAGAGACTCAAAGCATTTTAAAGAATAGCTTTATATATTTTAGTCCATAGACATTATCTAGATTTACTAACTTCTTGAAAAAAAATCCCATACCTCTCAGCCTGGGAATTGCTAATCTGGCTGATGTGTTTAGGTTCCTTCCTAACTTGGTTATTTTCTTCCCAAATTGTTCTATCTTCAAATATGTCTGTGCCTTTAAGAGGAATTATGATTGTACTTCATACTATGTATATATATTTAAATGAACGATTAGTGAAAATTGTCCTCAATTATTAAAAAAAAAGATGTGCAGAGGCAGTGGCCAATGTTCCCTGATGCGTCATGATGGAGTCATTCTCAAAAACTAATGGCTACAAAATTGAGTAAACATAGAACCAATAAAGAAAAGATTTCTTCACATCCTGTGGAAAAGTTTGGGATAAGTACAGCATTTTTTTTTACAGTGATATCTCATGCTTGCAAACGTCAGCTACAAAGCAAAAACTGCCTTCCCACGTATCAATACCATAGAGCTGACTTGCAAAATGACACCATTCTCCTCAGAGCGTACCCACCCCATCCTTCTTTTGAGCACAAAGCACACTATATTTGATGAAACAAGCCATTAATTAGAACTAACAAATTCTTTTTTGTCACGCCTTGCAAGTACCTCCTCACCGTGCAGAATAAGGAAAAGCTCCCAGTTGACACACCATTCTTTCAAGTTCTGCCCTAATTTTTCAAACACTTGAGCTATTTCTTTTCCAAACCAATTTTGTAAAACAAAAGCTAGTACATACCCAGCAGTCCCTTTCCCTAATTCTAATATACCAGATTGTGATCTCTATCAATGCTCAGTGAAATTGTAACCCATTCCCAGAATCATCTTTCATGGTTTCATTTTTCTTTTGTGTTAGTTTTAGTGATTTTTTCTTTCCTCTACTTGTTTTTCAAAAAGGCAGTTATGTAAGAAGTCACTTTCTGTCTGATTTCTTGATAGTTTCAGAAGCTAGGATTTGAGCTCATAATTCTCCCTCTCTCCTCCTGTGTATTGATTCATGAATATTGACCACTTACTGAATACCACCATCCTACCATGTACCAGCATCAGTTTTTACATATAATCATAGATATTTTTACAGAGTGCTAACCCTGTGCTAGGCAATGTTGTAAACACTTTCATTATCTTGATTTTATTATTGTCATCCTTATTTTACATATGAGAAAGCTGAGAGAGATTAAATTACTTGTCTCAGGGTTTGAAAACAGACATACTAAAATCCAGAACCCATGATCTTAACCACTGATGGACATTAGTGGGCACATTTGTTTCCAACATGAAAGTTCTGGACATTAAAGGGCACCATTTGAGCGAGGAAGATAGAGGTGAGAAAAGGGGGGTGATAATTAGAAGAAAACAATAAAAAGCAGGCATTATTAATATCCATCACATTTCATTTTTTTGTTCAAATATGTTTTCAGTATTGCTAAATTGACTCACTGTTCTTAGACCCTGCAGGGTAATAAAATAAAAAGTAAGATAATTTTTGTATTCATACAGATTTGAACAGACAACTTGCAAACAAGACAACTTACAAACAAGAACAGTTAAATAGTACAAAGTAGTTTCACCAGGTCTAGAATTCTATGAGTCTAGGTGGAAGATAAAAAATACAAGCTGTAGAAGTCAGAATGAAAAAAGGTATCTATAGGGTCAAGAAATCCAGACCTTTGAGAACTGTGAAAATGAGTAGGATTTGACTAGCTCCAGCGAAAGGGAGCCATTCTCCCAAACAGTGACCCCGCCAGCACAGGCAGGGAAGTGGGAATAGTGACTTTTCCAGCCTGGCTGGGGTGAGACAATTGAACTGGTAGGAACTGAAGTCGAAAAGACTGGGTTCAGGTCTGTGGCAGGCCTTTTCCACAGGGCAATGAATGGGAAGTCAATGAAAGATTCTATACGGGGAAGTAACAGGATGAAGACAAAATTTGGGGAAGTTAAATCAAAAGCGGCAGTCTCATGGATGGCAAATAGCATCTTTTTCATTACTGGACTTGGAAGCCATAAATGCATGTAAGACAGCAGAAACAGAGGCCCGGAGAAGGAAGACGTAGATATGAAAGGCACTCCTGGGAGGGGGCGGGTATGAATGAAGCGGGAGCGTTCGAACACTGAAAACTTTAAAAATGTCCTTCACACACACACACACACACACACACACACACACGCACACGGACACACGCTCCAAAAGCACCTACTGAGAACACCAGCGCAGGTGGGAAGACTTTTGATTCAAGTTACGCCTGTCACCCAGGGAACTAAAACCACCCACTATTCAGGCAGGTGAGCCCACAAAGCAAACCAATCCATCTGGTCCATGCTCCCCACCTCCACCCGCAGGAGTCAGAGAGGAAGATGGAAAAGTTTGGGGAGTAGTCCCCGGCTAACCAGAAGAGTATTTTCTCATTCCTCAACCACTCTCAGGTGTTCAGAGAGGGAGGATGACATCCGGACAGTGCTCTGGCCACTCCTCCCCCGGGCCGATTATGAAACTCTGGACACTTCGTACCTCACCCCACTAGTAAGCCCTCAGGCCCGAGGCTCCTCCCCAGACTTATAAAGGTCCCATCGCGGTGCCTGTGAGCTCAACTGCCTGACAGACCGGTGTCAGCGGGACCTGGCCCACGGGTGGCTCTCCATTCTCTCCGCAGCTCCCCAGCCGCAGCCCCGCCACGCCGCTCGCAGCAGCGCAGGAGAGCTCGCTCTGCGCCGCCGCCCGCCGCCCGCCGCCCGCCGCCCGCCGCCCGCCGCCCGCCGCCCGCCGCCCGCCGCCCCGCCCGAGAGCCCGCGGGCTCCCCCAGTCTCACCCCGCGAGCAGGATGGGACCGCGCCGCGCCCGCCGCGTCCGCGCGCTGCAGCTCTGCCTGGGTGAGCCCCCGTCCCCGCCCCGAGCAGACGAGCGCGGCCGGGTTTCGTTTGTCGTTGGACAATTAGGGAGATTTCCTCCGGGCTAGTGTCGTCTTTAAATTGATGTCTCTTGTCTGCGAGTCCGTCTTTCCCCCCAGCCAGGGCTGGAATGGAGGAACAGAGGCTTTTCATTGATCAATCAACTACTGGTATATATGTCATGCATGAATTTATACAGCTCCGTATTAGGCAACATAAAAAGTCGAAAAGCTTTTGTGTTTTTCTTTGTAAATTTACTGTTCTGGAAATCCAGAGACCGGGATGCACTGTTGACACTTCACGTCGGGTTCTTTCTTATTAGAGGAAGGGGTGGGTGGGGGCAGGAGTGGAGACTAGACTCCGGCAGGGGAAACCTTTTGGAAAATAGTGTTACCCCGCACCCGACCCCTCCCCGTTTGTCCACAGTTTTCCGAGTTGAGCCTGCCTAAGCTTCTGGGGCGCTGGCGTGCGCGGGTGCCCGTTTGCTGGAGCTACCAACCCCACGGAATTAGCGCAGCTCCTGCGTGTCTGGAGCGGGAGGGACGCGGCCTGGCCGCGGAGCTCGTCGCCGCCGGTCCACCCTCACACCTGCCATTTGGGGCTTGTCCCTGAGCCCGCGTGGCGGTGGCTGGTCAGGCGCTCTTCGCTGGCACGCATTGCACCCCACCGCCTGTAATCGCTGAGTGTACTTTAATTCCTGTCATCATCCTATTTGAGATGATTTAGTGCTGGTAGACAGGCCAAAAAAAAAAATTTTTTTTTTAAATGTCCTTGTTTGAAAAATATATTTATTGCCTCTTCTTAATTCTTTAAACTTTAAGAGGAATTTGGAGTATATAAACATTTAATAAGGAAATAAAACTTGCCAGTCTCACATTCTTTCTGGACTTGCAATGAGGCAAATTCTCCTACCTACCTACCAACCTACCTGTGCAGGCTGTGACAGTTAAATTATTATTTTGACACGCCTTATCTCAGGGGTTGAGAGACCTAATGAAATGCATACTACCTAGAGTGGAACGTATCCAAGTTCAGGAATGTAAGTGGCAACTGCATGTCTGGTTTCTACCAAAACTGTGCTAAGGACTTGGTAGAAGATTCTCAGTAAATACTATGGTTTTGCTATCGTTTTTAAATCTCTGTGAAAATAATAAAATTGGAAAGGTGACAGTCTTCCTAGAGTCAGACATTAAACCTAGAGGTCAGATGGCTTAGTGCTTTCCCCCCACCTGGAAGGATGCATCTGAACAATGCAAGCGAGTGTCTGTTCTGAGACACTCACTGAATATTCTAATTTGAGACAAGAACCTATGAATAACCTGGTTACTACCCACCTATGTTGTGTGTTTTTGTTGTCACGAAAGTGCTTAACTCCTTTATTGCATTACTTAATTATAGTTCACTTATTTCATCAGCAGCCAAGCCCATTTCCAAATGAGCTAGGTCAGTTTCTGTTTTCCCAGTGTGTTCAGATAGTTCTCTGCCACTAGGAAAGTTCCTGTTTGAAGTTCTGTATAGCATCTTTACACTGCAGGTATGCAAGTCCAACAATTTTATTCTAAAGCACTGGAAAAAAGGTAAGGCCATCCGTTAATTCTGAAACTGCCCTTTCACCCCCTAACAAACGATTATCTAGAAATGCTTTTCCCAAAGGACTATTCTCATTCATTTTAGATTACAGCAGTTTATTATTGCCTTTTTTGTGGAATTTATATGTCTTCATGAGTGTGGAAGAAATAGAGACATGTTCAGTTCCAGCCTCTGCCTCCAAAACATGTAGATTTAAATTGCTACACATTCACACAATCATTTGATTACTTTTAAATTTTATAAATATTTAATATTGACATTCTTACTTTATATGTTGGAAACTATGACTGAAGGTCCCGCAGAAGAACAGGGCTAAATGAGGCCAATTCACAGCTGAGCAAGCCAGTGCTTTTAGCTTACTGAACATAAGTAAAAGGGTGGAGATTTTCCCAAACTAGGTAACACATTTCTAAGCAATCAACATATAGAGCTGAACTATCATTTCTAATCTTGTGATTGTACTAGAGCAAAGAGAACTTTTTATTTTGAGTTCAGCAATTAAGGCTTAGGGTTTCTCGATCGAAAATCAAACATTTTCATTGATACCCAAATGGGCTTTTGAGCATGTTCCTGAATAACATCTCCAAGACATTTATTTTATCCTTATGTCATTGCCCAGTGACAGGTAATTGAGCAGAATAAACATTTCTTTTCTTGAAAATATGAGAAGCACGGATCTCAATGAGACATCGACTTGCCTCAGATATTTTCTGTTGAACTGAGAGTTTATCAGCTGCCTGAATGTTAGCACACCTGAGATGACACATTGTAGGCAGAAAACCTGATGACAGGCCTTTCCTGTCTGGATTTTGACCTAGGTACCCTACCTGCCTTCCATATCATCTTACGGTATGAACAATTTGGGTAATAGGATGTGTAGTTCTATACTGGGGACCAAATCCAAGAGTTGGGAAGGGAACTAAGTTACCAAATGCCTGCGGTGAGCCAACTATGTGATGTGGTAGGTGCTTTATGCATGCCATCTCATTTACTTCTTAAAATAACTGTATAAAGTAGGTATGATTAGCCTAGTTTGACAAATGAAGAAACTAAGTAAGGCTCAGTAAAGAAACTAGAGTAAATGTCAAGAGTAAACATGTTCTGTTCATTTTTACCCAAGAATCTCCCATTTCCTGGCTATTGGTCACCCAAAAGATGCAAATGTGGTGTAAGAAATCCTCTTCAAAGAGGCTATAAATTAAGGTGTGGTTTCCTCATCTGTAAGTCTTCATTCTGAATATAAACCTATGCAAATTATCTAATTAATATGGTTGTAATTTCCGCTGGAAACATTCCTTCAGAAGACAATGGTAAGACTCCCTACAGCTATAATAGGAGAGATCCCTGGGGAGGAGCACCCAGACAGCCATCTCTTTGGTATAACAATTCTGGAAGCTTTAGGAAAATGAAGTAATGTGACAGACAGTGTCCTCTGGTGATGTGTTATGAAAGAGTGGGTGTCCAGTTACAAGGCCAATAAAGGTTCAGTGACATTCTAGGCTAAAGTAATGATTTCATTGACTAGGATACTATCTATAATACACAAGACAATTGGCTAATTGTCCAGAAAAAAAATGTTAACCCTTAATTTTTTAGGACAAAAATTCTAAATTTTAAATTTGAGGCATAGAAGTGAGTTAAATACAAATCCTCTTGAAAACCTTCCAGATAAGGAATGCACACACACACACACACACAAACATTTATATGTCAAACTTTATAGTTTTGAATCAAGATACATAGTATATGAAATATAGGTTTCACACCCCAGTTATTTGATACTTTTAGAAATATTTATTCCTTTGTGAACCTCAGTTTTCTCATCTGTAAAATGGAGATCATAATAACTATGTTATCAGGTTATTGTAAATAGATTTAATATATTGGATGATATTAGAAAATAATAAAAAGCACTTTTAAAATTAGAGTTATCATCATCATCATCATCAAGTGCTTTCTTACAAAGTACCTCATTAGATCCCTATAATAACTCCCTTTTAACCTGGAAAGGTATTATTATTCCCATTTTGCAAATGAGAAAACAGACTTAAAAGTATTATCCTGCATGTAAGGCTTCATGTTTAAATGTGGATGCCCCCAACTCATTTTCCACTTTGGATGGAAGTTCTACTCATTCTTTAAGACCGTAGAAAGTGTCAAGCTTTCTCTGATAGACCTCTCCACCTTTCTTCTCCCACCACTTAAAAGTAAATGTGCATAGTTACCCGGCAGGGCAGAGTTCATGATGGCAAAGGTGGTTTTCCCCGGCCAGGCTCACCCATTGCACTCCAGATGTCCTAACCCCTGCGATTTCCCCCAATGAGAGAAACTCGATTGCACAATTTGTGGTAGTGGGGGACTGCATTTGTGCTCTCCTCTGGCAAAAATAAAAATAAAAATAAATAAGTAAATGAGCAGCTTGTTCCCCCATCCCCCATGCACCTCTCCCACTTCTGTGGTCCCACCCTTTGCGAGTAACTCTGTGTATCTAGCACTGTCTCTCCTTACTGGTGCTGTACTCCTCTTTTCTATTCACATTGTGATGAATTAATATTAAAATCTCAGGAAATGTTAGGTAGGTGGATGCTTACAATGATGCTTTAGAGCTCTCACCACTGTCTGACTGATCTAGCTATTCTTTGACAATGTGTTCGAGACACTAAATATTTTGAGACTAAACAATAGTTCTTGAAAATTCAATTTTGTTGTTTCTGATAAAACCTAATACTGATTCTTTCCTCTTTTCCTCGTGTATGTCTCTTAAGGTAGTCTGTATTCATTGATGATATGCCTAACAAAATTTAAGCATATTTTAAATTACACACACTGTGTTTGTGTGTGTGCAAGTGAGAGAAAGAGACAGAGAGAGAGAGATTGAGCAGTGATATGACTGAATGATGGATAGTCAGTAAAAAAAAGAAAAAAGAAAAAAGAAAAGTATTGTTTTGGAAATGAAAGGAACTTTAGAGTAACTTGATCTAACTTCCATCGCCCTCTCTAATCTACTCCATTCCTAGGCCTCTGTTTTTAGAGAAAAGGTAACTCAGCTGCAGGGAAATAAAGTTAGTATCTGAGCTAGAATTGGACTCCATATCTCATGGGTCAAATGCAGGGTGTCTCGGCCTTGGCTGTATTTACCTTATGGACTAGATAATCCTTTGCTGTGAGCCTTCCTATGAATTGCAAGATGTTTAGCAATAATCTCTGGTTTCTACCCACTAGGTGTCAGTAGCACCCGGCCCCTCTAGTTTTGACAACTAATAATGTGTCTAGACATTGCCAATGTCCCTGGTTGACAAAATTACTCCAGGTTAAGAACCATAAGCCTAGTGAGTATTTCCATTGCTATAACACATTGGCACTCATAATCACAGTTTGAATAATCAATGCTTGAGTTACCAAGACAAATAAAATGAATAGTAATGGTAAGCCAGATGCAAATATAAAACCACTTCTTGTGTTTAAAAAATCAACTTAGCAATTTTTATCACTAATTCTAGCACCACTTGCCCTGAATAGTGATTAATCTTATTTATGATGGAGTCACTCATACTTTCTCCTTATACCATTGCCTTGCTGACTACCTCATGGCTCCTTTTATAATTCTGACTTATTGGCTCCCACAATACTGAGCTTCTTTTTTTCCTCTAATTTCCTTGGCCATTTCTATTCACTCTTTATCATCTATTTCCTAAGTTCTATTATTTTTCATTCCATACTACTTCCCTTGGAACATTTGAATGGCTCCTATGCTTTAAAGGTCATATTCCCTCATATGACTTTCAAATAGACTCCATCAACTCCATTCTTACTCTTTTACTTAAGATCTGTATTCCCAAGGGCCTCATAAATATAAATAGGTGATATATAAACTACAAACTCAAATTCCTTTACTCATATCATGTCCTCTCTTTATACCTACCAGCTGCAAGTGCCACCACAAACCTGCTCGTCGGCCTGTTCTCTACTCTTTTAATGGTACTACCATCCTTGGTATTTTCTAGCCAGAAACTTGGCATCATCTATGAATTCTCTCCTTTCCTCTCCATCCCCAGGTGTCTAGCCCCATTAACTTTATTTAGGACAGGAGCTATATCTTTTACATTAGTTTTTCTTTGAGCATCTTGTTCAACATTTTACAGACAGAAAAACCTCAATGGATATTTATTGGACAAATATCATTTGAGACATGTAGTTACTCAAGTATAGGCTAAGCTGCTCTCCTCTTTTATTTATTAGATGTGACTAAGTTCTTCCCACCCTAGCACTATACTACAGAAACATATACTTCTTAATGAAGGTGAAGTCTCCAATTTAACCAAAAATATATTTTCACAAAATAAAACTTTTTAGCAGCTTCATATATGCTAGGCGCATTACACAGTTTTGCTGAATGAAAAGCAATTAGCTTTGAGGCTTTTAAAATTACCTGAGGGACATCTGTAATACTTTCAACAATAAAGATACATTTAAAGAATAAACTTACTTTTGTGTACTCATTTTCTCCTTTTTTTTAAAATGCCCACTGATTACAACTCTGTTCTTTTGCAAATTCATTTTTGGCAATAGGCCTTCATGAAGAATGCATGAGATGATAGTAAATATGTTTCTAAAAATGCTATCACGTATTCAGGCTTCAGGCCACAACATGACCACAATGAAAAGAAGGTAAGTGGCAAAACTCATAATCCAAACTATTGTTCCTGTAGGGGATGTTTCTTTTGAAACAATAATATAATAGTAATTTGAGTATCAAATTGGATCTTTAGGGACAGGTGTGAGAAGCAAGACGAAAGGGAGTAAAGGTAAAAAACAGTTATAAAAAGTCACTCCCAAATAACATTATCTTGGAGAAAATAAATATTTCCACTGAAACATTTGAAATAATAACTCTAGAAATGAATCTTTGGCTTTTAGGGGATGCAATTCCCATTAGGAGCTCTTAAGTCACAAAATTCCAAACACTCAGATGAATAAAATTGTGCCCTTTACACAAATTGATGCTCCTCCTCCTGTTTCTGAAAATATTTCTATCATGAACAAGATATATCTTTAAAACTATTTTAGGGTAAAATACACTATACTCTTATATCTTGGCACACTGATTCTTGATTTGAATAGCTTTAACATAGTATTGTATGAGACTAAAATATGAACAGTTTGAAGTATGATTTAGAAATTACTACCAAAATTGCAGAGTATAATGCCAATGAATGGAAAAACATGACCCATTAAATCTTTTCTCACCCCTTGACAAAGAGGATCTTATGGCTATCTTTTTAAAAAAATATTTTATTTATTTATTTATTTATTTATTTATTTATTTATTTATTTATTTATTTATTTTTCAGATAGAGTGGGAGGGAGAGAGGGATGAAGAGAGAGAGAGAGGAACATCAGTTTGAGAGAGACATATCTAGTGGTTGCCACCCACACAACCCCAACTTGGGCTGGGAATAAACTGCAACTGAGGTACGTGCCCTTAGCGGGAACCAAACCCAGGTCTCTCCAGTCCACGGACTGACACTCTAACCACTGAGCAAACCAGCCAGGGCTCTTATGGCTATCTTTTAAAGTCACAATGAAAAGAAATACTTATTCGTAACCATTGCTATATCAACCTCTGGTTTCATCCTATTTTATCTCAAATAGTTATAATTTTTTATTTTGTTTTATTTTTTTTTCATCACCATTTATTTGTTCTCTGCCCTCTTCCACCTCCACCCTTCCCCACAATCACCACACTGCTGTCATGGCCACGAGTTCCCTCTCTCTCTCTTTCTTTTATGTTCAATCCCTCTACTCCCCTCCCCCACACCAGAGCTGCCCACCTGCTCTCTATCTATGAATCTGTTTCTATGTTGCTTAGTAGTTCAGTTTGTTCATTAAATTCCACATATGAGTGAAATCATATGGTACTTGTCTTTCTCTGACTAGCTTATTTCACTTATAAGTTTTTAATAAAGCTTGGTTAAAAGGTTTACATTGAAAAACTATAAGAAGGGAATAATTGCTGGTACAAAAGCAAGGTTATTTATAAATACATGAAAAGTAGGATGTTACTAGCAAGTATTGACACTAGTTTTTTTACATTATGTAATGTGATAAAAATTGTACAGTTATTTTAACCAAGGTGCAATAAGACTTCATCTAATAGTGGAATGTAATTTAAAACAAAAGACATGTGGCAATGGTGAAGGCATATTCACTCCTGTAAAGCACACAAGACCTAACATGCCTACTGTGTTACGCACAAATGCGAAAATTGTAAACTTCCATGGAAGAGGTGGAAAGTAACAGTCTGTGAGTAGACTGGCATGTGACCACAGCAAAAGTCTGAATAAAGTGGATTGTACTACTTGTTTGGGCTGGACAACTACTATGATTTATTATAAGTTTGCTGTTCTTTTCTAAACATTATAAGAGGTAAAATTAGGAAAATAATTTGCATTTCTTTCATTCTATAACCTACCTCATTTTACTTTGGGTCATTTTTATGTGCCTGATTGTTTTGCCAGGAGAGCCATTTTATCCACGGAAATTGCAAATGATTTTGCTGGCTTAGCTTGGTAGGCCAGTCACCAAGTCCCTGCCTCCTTCTAGGTGAGCCCCTCGGTGTGGCCAGAAAAGAGCAAGGTCAAAAGAAACCAGGTGCAATATAAGGGCATTTTTGACACTTGGCATTCCTCCTGCTATTGGGCAAGCACTTCTTCGTGCCCCAGGGCCCACAGCATTCAGTGCTACCCCCATTCAGGTGATGGCACTCAACCTCTCCCACTCGTGCAGTCCCCAACATTGTGGAAGGGTGTAGGCCCGGCCCTGACTCACAGGGTAGAGGTGGTTTGTATCCTGTGAGTCACCAGCGCCACTTCCTGCTGGCACATTTGAGATTTCACTGAGACACAGTCTCTGAAAGGTGAAGGTAGAGAGATGAATAGGTGAGCTTCAGGATCTTGAATCCCATTTGGACACAAAAAATGGCTTTTAAAGGAATTTTGATTTTTACAGTAGTACTGAAATAGTAGTTTCACCTGCCAATTTTGACTTTACAAATTATTTACCCCATATCTTCTTGTGCAGAATCTCTCATCTTAGTTATCAACATGAACTTGCCATCGATTTGTTTTCTGACACTGTCAAAAATCTCTTGTGTCATAGTGAATTATTTTCTTAGCAGGACCCATGGTCAAGGATCAAAACTCAAGTGTAATATCTGCAGTTGAATCTTAGAGAGATCGTTATGTTTAAGAACACTAAAGTCCTGAAAACTGATTGATTTAAGAAATACATAGATAAGACTTTAGCATCTAGTCCCTCCCTGTTATGACTTTAAAATAATGAATAGTGATTCTTAAGGGTGACAGGGTAGATATAAGAGACTCTTCCATGGTGGAGTTTTTCAATTTTTTGACCACCTCCACTTGCGCCTCTACCCCAGCTTGCAAGGGCCTGGGGCAGAGGAGAGGTGGAGGGAAGCTTGACAACCACTGTTTTAAAGTAATAGAGCTGAGAAGATGAACACATGATTTAGAACCAATTGTGCTATCTTAGTGGTTACATACATCCACGATGGAATTGGAGTCTAAACACTTTGTTTTGAGAGTAGCATTTAAACTTATTTACAATTTCATCTCTAAAATACCTGGATGTTGGATTAATGTAGCGAGTCTCACAGAAACCATCCTGAGCAATGGACTACGTCCAAGGGAGTGTCACAGGTTAGGAGAGCCCAGTTTTTGTGGAGGCACACCCTGCACTGAACATTCTTTAATTCACAAAGACAAATATATCACCTGTGGCCTGACCAACTGGAACAAAGTTTCCAACAGTGGAAAAACTAACAACTGCTAAAATCCTTAAAAAACAAAAAGACTGAGAAGCAACACCCCCAAACAACTAGCTGGATTCTAAAATAGTTGCAGGTTACAGTTGGAAGCAATGCCAAACAGGAGAGGCTAGTTTCTGATTCCTGCAAAGGATAAAGAAATGAGCTTCACATGTGCATTTGCACAATGGACCTGGCTGGCCCCTTCTTGGTGGGAGAACTGGTAATGTTGCCTCCAAAGAACTCCTCAGTTGAAGAAACATAGAGAAATAGGAGGATGTAAAAATGCTTATCTATAACTCCAGTTTGTGTTGAGCAGACTGTATAAGTTAAAAGGTTTAATTCTTCAGCCATTAAAAGTGCAAGGCAAAATTATATGGAGAAGTAGAACAAAATTGAGTTGGATGAGATTCTAACTTAGTCTCCATGAAAAATTATGTGGGCAAAGTAATCTTTTTCATCTCTGTTCAACTGACAATGAAATCCCAATTTTAACTATTTTTTTTCCTCATTTAAGAAAGATTTGTTTTGCCTGTAAGAGTAATTAAAGCAGCATTTATGTTGTTGTAGAAATACAGAAAGGGAGGAGATAGCTCTAAACTTCAAAAAGTATGTTCAGATCCTTGAGATTATGAGACAATGTCAAAAGGTACAGTTCTAACTCTTATCTTCCATACTCACTGGATAATTGGTGTTGGATGAGACATTTAATTTAACTGCACTGAGGTTGTTTGGGGCTAATGACTACTTCACAGGATTGTTACAAGTGTCAAGTTTGAAACATAGAAATTACAAACTATGATGCTGATGCAAAGAATATGCAATTTGCTTAACAGATACATGCCTCCTCTGAGAAAAATAAAATGAAGTTCTTTATACATGGGTTAAATCATCCTTTAAAAAACCAAATTACAGAAATTTATAATCTTGGTACCGGCCAGTAGAGGGCACGACTCATATATATTGCTAACACTAGAGGCTAGATCTTGAGTATCAAGGGACATTTATGGGAATCTCTGGTATGTTAGACATTTCAGAAAAAAATATCACTTCATTTAATTCTCCCAAAAATTCTAAGGGAGGAAATAAATCACATAGCTCAAATATTCTCACAGGATTATTTTTTCATCATACTTTGTTGCCTCTCTTTGGGGTTAAATAATCTGCTTCAATTACATTTACACTTGTTTACTCCATGTGATATCTATTATACACGAGTATTTTTGTCTGTTTACAAATTCTGTAAGTAGCTTATTCAGAAAAATACTCTGTACCCTTAGGAAAGTTGCTTAAACTCTTTCAGTTTTCTCATAATCTAATAGCAACAATAGTATCTCCCTACAAGGTTCAATAAGGATTAAATGAAATAATATGGACAAGGAGAGTAGAACCATGCCTGCATATAGTATGTGTTCAAGAAATGTTAACTGCTGCGAGTGTTACTACTACTATCACCACTTATATTTGTACAACTATTACTCATATAGAATGGGAAGAGTGGTTGAAGTACAAATGCCTGACTATTAAGCAGATGAGACTAAACTCTCTTTAGTCAATATCAGTGCAATTAAAAGCATCCATCTTGTGCTTTCTATGCAATTCAGAAATGACTTGAGTCATTCTGGTGTCTTTTTTCCAATATTTATCTATTCACTGGAGACACATGATGAGATGCTGCTTCCTGGGCCAACAGAATTGTATTCTACAGCTCAATATATGTGCTTACTCAGTGTTAGATGAAATAGATCCTGACTTTGCTTAGATTACATTTTACAGTGCAAAGAGTCATTTAGAATTCAGGCAATTAAATCAACAATGACTGTATCTTAGATTTAGAGTCCTGTATAGCTGGTATCATAAGCAGAACCTAATTTTTATTTGAAGTCCTCTTTTGTGATATAGTCTACCTTGGAACATTGCTTCGAGCATAACATAGAATAAAACACCTGAAATCCTACAGTTTTTGAATTTCTAAGATTCTTAGAATATCAAACTTCAAAATCATGTCTTTGAAAAGGTTCCTGTGAAACATTTAAAGCAGCCTAAATCTATAACTAACTATGACTGTAATACCAAGGCTTTTACCCCTGGACGTAAGAGCTGGGGGTTCATTATCAGTTATATGCCTGTTTCCATGAATTATTTTCTTTTAGGGTTTTGATGGGTCGAATTCTTGAGATAATTAAAACAACTCTATAAATGCTACATTTATGTGGACATCTGACAAAACTTTTTTCTTGAAGCATTAATTACATAATTGATTTTTTTTCATAAATAGGTTTTCATCTTCTACAAATAGTTCTCAGTACCACTGTGATTCCTTCATGTATCCCAGGAGAATCTGAAGAAAACTGCACAGCTTTAGGTAAGACCAACTTCATCAGCAGCGCTTTACACATGTTTAACAGAAATGGGAACTCAAAGACTACAGCTGTATGACAGTGGGGAAAAGGAAGGGGAGTAGCTGCTGTGTTCACAGAAGAATTTTTTAACCCCCTTATGAACTAGCAATCTGTAAAACCTATATCGAGAAATTACTGGGGGCAGTGGGACTATGCATCCAATTATATGAAGACATTTGATCTTAAAGAGATAAGGAACAAGAAAATCAGATTCCCTATAGTCATTCCCCAGAGCTTTACTGATAAACCATTGTTACAGGCTGGATCCCAGGCAAAATAGGAACATTTAAACTCTGTACACAGTACATAATGAATGTATTTTTGTTGTTCTTTTTGTAAGAGGAACATGTGATGTCCTGTCTTTTTAGTCACAGCATTCATTCAGAAACATTTATGGAGTACTTACTATGTACCAAATGTGGTGTTTAGGCATACAAGGAAAGTGATGCATAGTTTTTTTTTTCCCTCAAGGACCCCAGAGGACTCTGGATGTGGGTTCAAAAGAGACATGCTTTATATTTAGTCAAGGGTTATGTAGTCATCGAGTCAAAAGTTATCCTAAGCTATTGAGCCAAGGGTTATTTATGTTGAGGAACCAAGATATTTTCCAAAACAATTTCACCTACTCTCTTGTCTTCCTTTATCACTGGGCTCTCTGGAGGTTTGGTGTGCTTCCCGCTTCTGTTTTTGATTATTTGAACAAGAGTATTGCCATCAAGATGCTATATTAAAAAATTATTTCATAGGCATTCTTTACATTTTAGTAACTAAAACATTCTAAAGTGAATTTTACATATAAGTTGCAACACTATTTCGAATAAAGCTCCTATATTCATTGTTGCATTTGCCTAACTGAGGCGTTTGTAACTCAGAATTTATCCAGTTCATGTTCAGGTCTCATTGTTAGAGATGTTGGGAGGCTTTGATTGATTTCTTCCATGGTGACCTCAAAAATTCAGGAATGCACACCAAAACAAACCTTACCAACTTAAAAGTCACTATAGAATTAAGCTCTTTTTAAAAAAAAATCTCACTGGTGGTTATGTTTCTATTTATCTTCAGATAGAGTGGAAGGGAGTGAGAGAGAGAGAAACATCAATGTGAGAGAGACACATCGACTCGTTGCCTCTCGCATGACACTGACCAGGGCCAGAGACAAACCTAAACCAAGGTACATGCACTTGGCCGGAATTGAACCTGCAGCTCTCTGGTCCACAGGCTGAGAGTTGCAGGTTCAACCATTGAGCCAAACTGGCCAGGGCAAATTAAGCTCTTTTAAATTAATTAATGTATTCAACTTACAATTGCTTTTGGAATCGTGAATTTCAGAATTATTTTGAGAAAAAAATTAGACAAACTTTGGCTAAGTGAATAACTATGGAGGGTAATGATTTGTTCTGTGTGTGTCCTCAACTTACCTTTTCTACCTTTAAATGTTGTCTTTTGGGAATTAAATCCCCAGTTATGTCTGGTTTAGTCTGTTGGACACTTTCTTTTTGGCTCAGGAGTATTTTTATTGTTTAGAGAGTGTGATAACTAGAGTGACTTTGTACTTCTGAAAATTCTCTACTGATCGCTACCTGACCTGGTTTGTTACGGTAGATCAGTGGTTACTATTATGAGAGGATGAGTAAGGTTTCAAAAAAAGCAGCAGAATATATTCAACCTTCCATTTTCTCCACAGTTCAGACAGAAAACAATCCACGTATGGCTCAAGTGTCAATAATACAGTGCAGCCCTGACATGAATGGCTACTGTTTGCATGGACAGTGCATATTCCTGGTGGACATGAGTGAAAAATACTGCAGGTAATATCCCTCAAACAAACAAGCAGCAAGCAAAGTTTTTAAACCTATATTTCTTTATTTTTTGAAATTACTCTATATTTCCATGGGGAGAAATTTATATGTACTATAAAAAACTTTATTAAGTGAGGTTTTTTTTTTTTTTTTTTTTTTTTTTTTAATTAGAGAGCAGTTAGTCGTTATCAAATTGTACAGATACTTCAGGGGTACAGATGGGGGAGGGCTTCAGATAACCCCCTCTCATACAATAGCAGCTCAACTTTTAATCTTTTCACTGGGCTTATATATATTATCAGCCACTGTTTCGGGAATTGATTCCACTGATATAGACAAAAAGCACTTCAAACCTAAGAACCTTCCGAAACACTACTCTAGACTGGCAGTCACACTGCAGCTGTGCAGGATAGTCATTTTTATACTGCAGTTTAGCTCGAGAGGCACGTGGAACTCTTTGTCACTTTGGCCTCGTTATAGGTCAGTCTTTGATTTCAACTCTACAATTTCTAGCAAACTTTGTTGATTTCTTGCATTATAATGTGAGATTAGTTCTTACAAAACTAAGTCGTACCATGATTTTTTAAAAAAATAATTGATCTTTCTCGTGTGTTTTCCTTTAGGTGTGATGTGGGTTATGGTGGTGTTCGATGTGAGCACTTCTATTTAACGGTCCAACAACCATTGAGCAAAGAATATGTAGTTCTGACTGCGATTCTTGGTATCTTCATTCTTCTCTTTGTCGCTGGTTCCGTATACTACTTCTGGAAATGGTAAACCAGTGTGTGTGTGTGTGTGTGTGTGTGTGTGTTTTACACTCTGTTTTTGTAAATTACTTTTATGCAATACAGACTTTCAAACTGGGTAAAAATATGGACAAAGCATTCTTTAGAGAGTTAAGGTAGACTCTGCAATGTAGATATTTATAAAGATGTTTTAGTGGCAGACCATCTGGATTTGATTCTGTTATTAGCTTTGTTACTTATTACCTACATGACTTTATGCAAGTCAAACATGGGAGTATCAGTTCTTTAAAAAATACAGATAGATGCCTGGCTGGTGTGGCTCAGTGGTTGAGCATCTACCCATGCCAGTTGCCGGTACCAGTCCCAGTCAGGGCACATGCCCAGGTTGTGGGCCAAATCCCCAGTGGGGGACAAGTAGGAGGCGGCCAATCAATGTTCTCTCTCACTGATGTTTCTATCTCTCCCTCTCCCTTTCTCTCTCTCTGAAATCAATAAAGAAAAAGTATCTAAAAAATACAGATAGAAAGTCTTATCCTACATTAATTATAGTACTCAGTATAGAATATGATAATACATGTGAAAATAATCCTTAAGCCATGATGCCAATCACTTGTATTTAATTTATTGGGCCAAATTTTGTATTTCATAAAACACACCCTTGTAAATTAATAACCCCAGAAACTTAGGATCTCAAAATTTAAGGCAATTAATAGATGTGAGTTTCCAGACAATTATAAAAGCTTACTGTTAAAAAGTGGTCATGTCAGCCCCCCAGAATATTCACACTCCATCCTCATGTACAATGCCATACTGTTAGGGCTAAAACCAGGATATGGAAACAGTGTGAATTCGTTAATAACAGCTGCTTTTCAAATGTCTCCATGAAATCCTTTTTATTTTGGAACTGTTACCAATTGTTCAGTGTACATTTGAATGGTTTTCTTTTTTTTTTCTGAAAGTAGTGTACTTCTACTTTTGAAAGTCTGAAAATGTGCTACTTTTATTAGATTAAATTTATTTGGCCCATGTTTGATTTTAAGTATTTCAAATAATAATGCCTTCTTAAGTAGTTATGATCACAGAACTGAATGTGATTAAATCTGAGATACACCTGAAAGGTCTTCGACTACAGTTTTTTCTTTATACAGATGGGGAGAACGAGGTCTAGAGTGGGAAACTGATAGGCTCAGCTCATATAATTGACAAGTGGCAGAACTGAGTCTAAACAAAGCCTCTTTAATTGTATTCTTCCACTAAGCAAAGACTACATTCTGAAATTGTTAGAAAATGAGCTCAAAACATTAGGAAGAGGGCTTGAATGAATGAATGATTCTGAATATGATAGATTTATAAATCCTAGCTGGGAGATCTTGGCCAGGTTATGTAACCTATTTGTACTTCACTTCTTCATTTATAAAATGATGATTATCATAAATTTCAAGATAAAATAAATAATGAATGCATAGCACTTAGAACATTGTCAGTCAACTGATAAATCCTACCCATTTTTCATGATAATTGTAATGATTCTTTTAACAAGAGTGTTTCACCATTTCCTCCTCAAATTTTTTTTAAGTTTTTTTTTTTTTTTCTGTCCCTCCTCCCAGCGCACCAAAATTGTTTGACCACAGAATGCTACTCCTTCTTCTTTCCTTTTGTTTGTTTTACTTTTTCTTGTCCAAGCTAAACCTGTTCAACTTTGTAATTCTGGAAACACTTCACTGATGCACCTTTTGAGTTCATATATGTTCCTTTTGTTAACATACTTGGTTCTTCTTACTGTTAATTACAGTGCTAATAGTTTCATTACTGAATATTTCTAGGTACAGAAATCAAAAAAGTGAAAAATCAAAGGAGGAGTATGAAAGGGTGACCTCAGGAGAGCTGGTATTGCCACAAGTCTGAACGGTGCCATCAAGCTATGAGCCAGGATGCACACACAGCCTGCCTGCTTATGTTAATATTCCTGTTTTCTTAATAATATTTATGTTGGGTCATGTGTTAAGTCGACAGTTGTATATTTTAAGTACACTTGGAAACTTTTTATTTTTTATAGACTATTTGTATAATGTACACAAGCTACTATAGAAAGAAAATTGATATTTTTTTTCCTGCGCTCAATGCTTTATTGAAAACTTCAAAGCTTATTTACCTGATGCAAATAAGTTACTCAGAAAGTATCAGCAAATGATATATTTTTGTTAGCCTAAATATATAGTAAAATCAATTTAATCAGTATATTTTTCTACTCCTCAAATCAGTGATAACTGATTTAACTATACTAGAGTTTGATGTATAAGTTGGCACCACTGTGTCATGTATTGAGACAATGATACAATGGAAAATGGGGAGAAGCAAATATGGACTGCGTGCTAAACACCACACATTTGAAACATACTAAACTAGGCGAGATCGGCTGCCTTCAGGCCCATCCTCAGCTCTAACTCTGTTTTGTTTGTCTGCCTGGAGGGGAAGTGGGCAATTCCTTATTCCAACCACAACTCCTGTGGACACTAGTCCCCTATCTATCAGATTCTCATTAAGTAAAGTTAGCCAAGAACTTAATTCTACACTATCTTTTATGCAAATAGTAGATATTTTATAGGCTCACAAAAATGTTGTTCCTTTTTTGCACAATATTTATGTGAGGTAACTTGCTCCTAAGACAGTTTAAAAAAAAAATAGATACCGAAAGTCAAAATATGTGCCTCTTTTAAAGAGTATCTATTTTGTAGAGATTTTGCTGAAGAATTCTAAGATTAACTCGTAGTCCAAAATGTGATGGACTAATCATTATTTTAAACTATGGGACAATAGTTGTATATTTTGTCTAAAGGCAGAAATTGTTGTTTTTTATATAAGATATTTTTAACTTAAGAAATGGAGGAAGTAGCTTCTTGTAGAATTTAAAATTATATCCTGATGCAGGACATGGGGAAAATAAGAAAAATAAGTCATAGTGTATTTTTCTAAATGAACACATTTATCTGAAAGCTTTTACAATTTAGACTTAACCATTCCTTCCTTCCTATGAAGAATGAGATGAAATCAGGGCCCTATTTTCTGTCTTGTTTATTTTTTTTGAAAGAGATTAAAGTTTCTCCTGTCGTCTCAGTGATTTAATAAGGGTACTTGGGGCAACCGTGTAAGAAGTCACAGTTCTCACCATCTCTGGATCTTCTGGGAGACCATCGCATTGAATGCCAGATCTTTAGTCTCTCAAAATCACACACCAAATCAGGGAGGGTCTGTTCTCTTTCTACTTTTTATCCTGACATGTGCTAGGGCAACAAAAAGAAAATAAGTTATGGCTCACCTCTGCAGTGCCAGGTGCCAGGTGCCAGGGCTTGCCTCCATATGTATCCTTGCATTATATCGCCTGGTGCATTCACACGACTCTAATCCAAAGTACTGGACCTGGTTCCTTACTACTAGGGAACCAAACAAACACATATATATTTATGTAGATGCATATTCACATACAAACACACGTGTACACATGATTTCTATCCATCAGAATTACAGTTATTTGTTGTTTTCTCAAAAATATATAAAACTTAAAAATAAGATACAGAAAAATAAAATAAAAATTGGTGAGATCAAAAAAGATATTTCTGTTTTCCATTTAATATAGCTGAAGTCAAATGTACTGTATTAGAACACGTTTTAAATCCTGTACATACTTATTGGCACCTGTAAACAAAGCCTGCTTAATTTGAGTGATTTTGATTACCTCAAAGAGTATGTATTGACTAACCAAGAAATCAGCTCACTTATTTTACTGACAAAAAGGGAGCCATATTGGTTTATCTTAAGCATCTCAACTCATATTACCTAATTAGTTGTAAATAGTTTGGTGTGTTTTCCATCTGTTTTTAAGAATTCTTAAAAACCAACTGCTATAAAAGTTGTCTTAATTTAGAAAAGCATGTTAAATAATAAAAAGCTATGACCCAGATTGCTTTTTATGGATGAAAAATAAGTGAACAACAATTGCCTTAATGAGCAAAAATAAAAAATGGTTGCTATCAACTCATGTTTCCTACAAGCAATGGAAAGAATTGGGCATGCATTTAGTCTATATTTCTCATTTTCCAGATTTTCCACAATATTTCTAGAAGGGGCTATTCAGAGCCAACATATTGAGAACAAATGCAAATCCAGTGTATAAATGTTAATTCATGGCTTCCCATCAAGGCCATGCAATAACTCACTTAACAATACTCTATAACAAATGACATAAAGTTCTATGATTGGCATTAAAGGTTTAACCTCAAAGTTGAGATTTATGTAACATACTGAACACTTATACAATAGAGCACTACCATTCTACACACGTTTACTCTCTTATTTCTGCCAAACGTCAAAGTATAGGGAGAACCGGTGCACTGGTATGACTAATCTAACTCTAACTTAGATTTTTATTTTTGTATCCTTGGGAAGAAAGCTTAAATCAATTGCTGTCAGATAACATATTTTCACACAACAAATGCATAATACTATTTCTAATTTCTATTGATTTCAATTATGCAGTTTGTAAAAGCTTATGTCAGATTCACTTTGTCATTTTTGTTGCAATATCCATTCTGTAGACTTGGGAAAAATGCATTTATTTTGCTTCTCGATATTTGTTTTCTCTACTCTTATTTATATGGGAGAAAGAGGAGGTACAACTTGTATAAACAGTGTTCTGGAGTACTTTTAAAATATTTTAACTAAAAATAATTTTACCTAAAACATATCTGTTATTCAAATGTTGATGGTATTAAATGTATTTTTCTTTTTGCTTTTTTTGTACACTGTAATTGCACTTTTTAAGTTTGAAGGGCCATTTTGGTATACAGTTTATATTAAAGATGCTATAGAACATAAAGTGGTATTGCCTGCAGATTAAAGTAACTTATTTGATAATGAATTTTATTAGAGTACTGAATTGTATCAATTTGTTTATGTTCAATATCAGCTTTGATAATTGTGTACCTTAAGATATTGAAGGAGAATATAAATACAATATATTGTTAATGTTTATTTATTTTTATTGAAAACTGAAAAAAAATTGAAAAATAAAACTGCATTAAGCCATGTATAAAACTTCACTGATATAGTCTCTCTCTTTTTCCATAATGCATTCAAGGACTTCAAAAACGGTGACAGGACTACGATGTGGTTAGATATAAAGGCTGGTGGTCTTAGTTTGGGACAGCATTATGTAACTCCATCACATTTTATTGCCCACCATAGTAAAACTTTCTTTGAAATATAAAAATCCACACTATTTATAAAATTATAGGAGTTAGTTTTTTGTTTGTTTGTTTTTTTATCCTTACCCAAGGACATTTTTGCATTTATCTTCAGATAGAGGGGAAGGGAGAGAGAAACATCGATGTGAGAGAGACATATTGAATGGTGGCCACCCACACTACCCCAACCTGGGCTGGGACTGAACTCCAACCAAGGTATATGCCCTTGACTGGAATCGAACCTGAGACTCTTTGGTCCATGGGCTGACGTTCTAACAGCTGAGTCAAATGAGCCAGGGCTTAGAAGAATATTTAGAAAGAATATTTCTAAAATAAATTAGATACCCTAGTTTAATAAAATAAAATTGAGATTATTTTGAAGGATTTTTTTTACATTGAATATTATTTTGTATTAGTTTCAGGTATATAACATAGTGATTAGACAATTATATACTTTACAAAGTGATCACCCCAATATTTCCAGTTCCCACCTGGCTCCATACATAGTTATTATAATATTATTGACTATATAACCCCTCTGGCAATCATCAGTCTGTTCTCTGTATCTATGAGTCTGTTTTTGTTTTGTTTGTTCATTTATACATCTCTTTAGATTCCACATATAAGTGAAATTATATGATATTTGTCTTTCCCTGACTGACTTATTTCATGTAGAGCAAAGTAGTGACAAAACACTAAATTCTAACATAAATAACTTTAAGAACTTCTTATCTTAAAAGGAAATTTTTGGCTCACGAGATATTTATTTTAAGTAAAGACTTACTCTTCCCTTTTAAAAGATATGTGCATATGGCCCAGCCGGTTGGCTCAGTAGTTGAGTGTCGACCCATGCATCAAGAAGTTGCTAGTTTGATTCCCCGTCAGGGTACATGCCCAGGTTGTGGGCCCAATCCCCAGTTGGGGGCATGCAAGAGGCAGCCAATTGATGTTTCTATCTCTCTCTCCTTCTCCTTTCCTCTCTCTCTAAATATCAATATAGAAAAAAATTAATAATAAAAAATATGCACATATGAATAACTATGTATGGTGTCAGATGGGTGCCAGACTTATTGGGGTGATCACTTTGTAAGTTATATGAATGTCTAGTCATTATGTTGTACACTAGAAAGTAACATAACATAATATTGTATGTCAACTCTAATTGAAATATTTTTAAATAAATAAACAGAAAATAGTGAAAAATATATATATAAATACCCTACTGAGAAGTAACATTTGAAAAGACACATCAGCCAGAGCGTGTCTCATGACTTCCTCAGCTTCTCCCAGCAAAAAGGTTTGGCTTCCTCAGGCCTCAGAGCAGGAAACGCTGGTCCCCTGGACCCGCATCACAGCCATGGCTTTCCTGGTTCATGCTGCACAACCTGCTGAGGGTGTATCCTTTTGTTAGCTCCTTGGACCTTTCACAGCCTGGGGATAGGGCAGGGAGACATAGCCATGATCATTTTACAGGGAGGAAAGTAATGTGTCCAGGGTCACAGTGACAGTAAACAGTGAGGATGAGAAACAAGGTCGTCTGATCTTCTCCAATTCCACTCTCATTCTGGCCCTGTCAGAGGCAGCATAGCCATCATGTGACGTTAATCTGGAATCTACTTTAGAGTTTCTTTAGAAGAAACAGAAACTTTTGTAAAATAAAATTCTTAGGCTCTTTCAGAACCATTTGATTGACTCTGTT